AAAGCTGGGTGGTTGTGTCACCTCCTTTTTTTCTCTCTCTCTCTCTCTCTCTCTCTCTCTCTCTCTCTCTCTCTCTCTCTCTCTCTCTCTCTCTCTCTCTCTCTCTCTCTCTCTCTCTCTCTCTCTCTCTCTCTCGCTCTCTCTCTCTCTCGCTCTCTCTCTCTCTCTCTCTCTCTCTCTCTCTCTCTCTCTCTCTCTCTCTCTCTCTCTCTCTCTCTCTCTCTCTCTGTCCGCTCTTTATCTAACTGATCATGGCGAACGGCGATAATTTGTGTTTGCAACTCTTCGTCTGATCTTTGCTCACGAACCAGCCTACAAGTCTTCAAAGTGAGTATGTCAGTGAGTTTCATAACAGCTTATGGCCCTTTGTTTGCCATCAAGTAGATTGCCCTACATCGATGTGGCGATCAGGCAATTTCGAAAGCCAAAATGCGTTGTACAACCCGAGCATTATATTTATGTCTTCCTGTGATAGAAACAGTCTGTCTTAGATATGACTTCCAACCTGAAAACAGGCTATAACTTATAGGATATAAGTTATTGTTGGTAAAACTGAATATATATTAATGCATTAAAGATCATTGCAAGTGAAGCGAACTGTTTAGGTGTACGCATATCGAACAATGTTCCCAGCGAGTTGAAGGTTATGTTTTTATTGTGTGTCGAATCAGTACAAAATGGAACGTGCATTCCGAACGTGATGGGGAAAAAGCAAGAGTTAGAGCAACAACCATCTTTTTTTGTCCTTTCCCACAAAACAATTTTTGTCCTTCGACTCTCCCGCATAATAAAAATGGCGTTGTTGATGGCCCAGGCGGTCAAAGTAGGTTATGTGACATAGGAGCGAGAGGTGATGACTTCACAGTGCACGTCGACGATCATTTTGATATTGCCAAGGTATGCAGTTATTGCAAGCTCAGCAGCTAGGGCTTCTTACGTTTAGTCACTCCTCATCAAGTAACGAGGCGTCAAAATTATGCAGAATGGCACCATGCGACGTATCTTCAGAAATGTCCAATGCTTTAACTTCTCGACTCTTGTTACGATCTTTAAAAAAGGCACCTTTCTTTCAGAAGATATGTTAACACGCACCCAGGTGGCCGGTTAAACACGTTTCGCTTTGGTGGGTGGTCAGTTTGCCACCCTGAGATCTCAGAAGCTAAGAGAGCTAGAGACACTAAACTTACAAGATGAGCTAACCTGTAAGTAAACTAACGAACTAACATACTAACTAGCCAACTAACTTACAAGACTGCTTTATTTCTGCGTTTGAATAAGCGTCAAAAGACTGCGCTACGCAGTAGGCTCTTAAAAGCAAAATATTGACCTTGGTAATTTCAGGTCAGTCACCTATTTTTAATTTACCTAATTTTAGGTCAGTTATCCTGACCTTAAAGAAGTTCATGGAAGATTATAATGACGTTTCTGTTATCAATAACTTCAAAATGAGCACCAGAAACTACCCGATGCAGCGATCTCTAGAGTAATGGGACCGATCGCTATTGACTTTGGCCTGACCTTATCTGGCTTTAGACCAATTGACTTTTTTACTTCAATTGTTTTGTTACTTAGGAAATAATCACAGAGATGTATGACTCTGTCTAAGTCTCCGTTGTTGGAACAGATTGAACGATTCTACGACGATTGGACGATTGGACCTAGAACTTGTCTGCCTGCATCCATGGCCTTATTTTACCTGCCGTAGATTAGTGACCTTGCAAGATACATCTAAAGCGCTGATGCCGAACTATCCGCTACTCCATTTTCTACTGATGCGCAAAATTTGGCACGGCTGCACCCGCCGTTCGTAAAGAATTCCGGAAAAACCTTCGGGGCTCAAATTAACCGTCAATTGAGAGCGCGTGTTAATGATTTAACGGACGCTCATAGACGCCCATATCACGAACACTTATCGCCAAAATGTGACATGCAACGTGTTACGCCCTGCAATTTGTCATGGAACACGTCAGTTGTGCCGTGACATCGCCAGAGCCGGGTGACCCGGCTTGTGCAGCAGCCGGTACGTGACAGCTGGGCGGGGCTGGCCTCTGCAGCAGCGGGCACGTGACGGCCAGGCGCGGCTGTGCGCCGCGATAACCCGCTGACTGGCACGGCGCCGCCCCCGCAGTCGGACACGGCGGCTGCGGCCGGGCGCCGGCTCGGTGCCGGTCCCGCTACATGTCGCGTGCGGTCCCGGTGCCGGTCCCGCTACATGTCGCGATCGTGCGATCCCCGTGTCGTCGTGTCTGGCTGTAAACGCGGACGTGGAGTTGCAGCCGAGGTTATTAGGTGTTGGCTGATGAGCAGTACGTGTGCGAGAGGATGATGACGCGAAGTTGCTGACTTTTATGTTGCCTTGTTTCATTTCGACTCCGCTACGCCGAATGCATCAATACGAGGAAGTGTCCTGATTCATATTGATTCTTGTTATCATGGATTCCGTTGGCATCGTTCCGTTTGATCTAACATTTTGCGTTGTGAGTGACGAATGTAATTGATTGTCAGGGCCTCAGGGCCTAAGGCAGCGTCACAATTTGCATAAGCAAAATCGACCATTTGGTGCTTCCATCAATCGACAGGATGACACACATTCCAGGAAATGTGGTATCACTCGAGCTGATACAGCCTTTATTTCAGTCTGCAGCACACTCAGACCTGTTTTATTACGTACAGGGATATGCATGCATATTTAAAGGAGCACCCCACCGTCACTGTTTTACAATTTTTGCTTATCCGACGCGTCTGACCTGGCCGGTGATTTGGCTTTCTTCAGGAAAGCTCCTTCCGAAAAGGTGAAAATTAAGATGTGAAGTAGCCGCTCCGACGGGAAATATATCATACAACTTTCTGCTCACCAATATGAAACTAATGCTTTTCACGCACTTGTCATTTACTAAAATGGGTCTTATGTAATGCCTAAAATACATCTATTGACTGGAATGTTTCTGCAATAAGTGGGATGAGAATAAAATCATCTATTTGAGAACACTATGTGCATTTATGCGTTCATTATAATGCAAATTCAACGAAAGGCCGCACTACGGTTTTGATTTCCGCGCTACGGCACCTAGCAGCGGCTCTTTTCGAAGTGCTTGTTGGCTTTGGGAAGCATTGTTTGTTTGGATGTCCAGCTTATGCATCAGTTTTAGATAGCCAAGTGACTTTTGAGAATGAGCGCAGCTCGAAATTTTGAGCACCGTCAATACATTAGTGATGTAGCAATATAGGGTCGTCTACACGCGCTGGTGGGGGTTAATTTTCTCTCCGGGATATCAAACTGCTAAGAAAGCTAGAAACACAAAATTCACAGGGCCAGATGATCTGTATGCGTGTCCACATTTGTCAAAATCTTAGGTTTATAGGTCATGATCTTTACACCAGTTAGGGTCAAAAAGTTCAAATTCAAGATTGGTGTTCATAATGCTCCAGGCCTCCTTGTGTGACCCCCTTGAACCTAGGCACCTGTTCCAAGCAAAATATCACTGGGTTGTTTTGGGTAACTGACCTTTTTGACCTTTTTTAGACCTTTTTGGTCTAAAGATTATGATCTGAACGTCAGATAAGGTCAAGAAGCTCAAATTGAAGATTGATGTTCAAAGTGCCTCAGGCCTCCTTGTGCAACCGCCTTGAACTTAGTTACCAGTTCCAAGCAAAATGTCACTGGCTCATCTTAGGTCAGCGAGCTTGTTTAAACTTAGTAAGGCCACCCCCGCGAGACCAAAACCAAACCAAAACAACAAAAAACCCGCGAGATTGTCTGGTTTTTTAATTGGCATCGATGCTATTAATTACGCAAGACGGTACATTCCTAAAAACAAAAGGTTCACCTGGGCCATATTTGGTCAGTGACCTTTTCTGGCCTTGAGGAAATCCAGGAAAGATGTCTGTTGCGGTCCATGTTATCAAAGAATTTAAAATAAGCATCAGGAACTATATTTTGAAACATTAGCCATCTGCACATACGATTTATTAAGCACACATGACCTGCATTAAAAAGGAGGTTAGTTTTTACCTCGGTCTGACCTTAATGCCCCACCCTAGGCTGACGGAATTTGTTGTTATGCTAAGTTCTATTGTTTTATTGCCTAAGAAGCGACCACCGAGATGCATGGCTTCGTCTAACACTCTGTCAGATTGGCAGACCCGTCAGATCCATTAGATCGGATTACACGAGTGTCCGGATATTTCCCTCGCTGACATCCACGGCATGGCTTTGACCTGCCATAAGCCAGGGACCTTATGATATAAATGTTTATATTAAAGGATCCGTTATTAAATTGCCTGCAGCCTCGCAAAATTTAGCGCGGCTAAGCTACGTGGCTCAAGAATTATTTCGCTAAAACCTTAGGGAACATATTATTGGTAGGTGGTTAACACCCGCCCCGCCCGCGCGCGTGTTGATCACCTACCTCCTGGTATATAAAAGGTCGTTAGCTCAACATAAGAGCTTTTAATTCATAATATAGAACACCCCGCGGCTGCAAGCTTTTCTTTATCATGCCATACCATAGCAAATGAAAGGAACGTGGTTCGTTTGTAATCAATGGTGTGAGAGCATGCGATGCGCATACCATCGGCGTCACCACAGGATATGGGACTGTGCCACGGCCGGCAACTTCTCGTTGAAGTTCATCATCGAGCCTATGGTAATGCGCGAAAAGAAGGCCTTAACGTTATACGGGCCGTCGCGTTTTCGGGCATATGTTAGGCCTTGGTGCATGTCGAGGAAAAGACTATATGTATGCTTTCCTATCGGAAACGGTAGTTACATATGTTATAATCTTCTCATTTGCATTCCATTGGTTGTGTTTAGGCATTACATGTACTGTTTTAAACCTGTCACATTAAATACCACAGCCTGGTGGCCCCAGACTGGTTTGCAGGGAACCTATTTGAACTCTTCGCTCGGTGTGTTCGTGTTTTGGTTACCTCCCTGCGCGCGGACCGGGCGCACTCGCAGGTGCCCGCGCCACGTGGCTGACGCCAGGTCCGTGTTGCAGCCGTGTCGGTGTCGGTGTCGGCCTGGACGCTGGTGGCCATGTCGGTGGAGCGGTACTACGCCATCTGCCACCCGCTGCGCTCGCGCGCCTGGCAGACCCGCAGTCACGCTCTCCGGCTGATCGGGGCCGTCTGGACCGCCGGCCTGCTGGCCGCCGCGCCCACGCTCGTCGTGATCCACCTGATCCCGATGGACCATCCCGGTGAGTGTCCGGGGAGGGGCGGTGTGCCACGCCAGGACCGCCGAGTGTCGGTGGGAGGGGCGGTGTGCCACGCCAGGACCGATAGGAAGGTCGGCCCGCCGAGCGTCCGTTGGAGGGTAGAGGGGCCACTACCAGGCTGCGCTCCGGCATGGGTGAGATACGTCTGCGAACGATGGAAGCGGTTCAGTTGGTGACCAAAGGGGCTGACCGTCGTTAGGGCTTCCACGACACACTCAGCTGAGGTTATATGGCGTCGCTTGCCTCTCACTCCGTCAAGAAGGGCGGGGACCACAGGGAATCGAACCCCGTACTTCTGGTATTTCAGACGCTCAGCTTAACCACACCTCCGGCACCTGAAGATGGCTGACAGGTCTCTAAAGGCATTGACCGGTGCGGCGGTCTTTGTGAGCCGAATACACAGATGACAACACAGAGATTCTCTTGGTTTTGCCCTATAACATGACATCTGGCATGCCCTATAACATGACAGCCTTACGGACCAGGGAGCAGCAGACGCTGCCGGGCCTTCGCTGGGCTTCGTTTTTGGGCCGCTTTTTTGGAGCCGCTGTGAGGTCGTAAATGTCAGCGAGGAGTAATGATGTAACGCCACACCACCTGATCCTCTGCGGAGTTAATGCTGTACCAACACATGTGTCAGGCAGTTTGATACCGCTGGAGCGAAGATGCTACGCTTATAATGCTATTTCTTGTGATTCCGCGAACTAATGTGGCGCACCACTTAGAACTATCGACTATATTTAGTCACATCTTTGCAAATTGCATAACGTATATTGTTGATCTGTATTTCCTTTATTTCCGCGACAATTGCGAGAAATGCTTGAAACCTTGATTGCGAGCTGCTGGCGTTGACGACCCACAGCTAGCAGTGGTGAAACTGGAGCAGCATCCAGCGACGTTCGCGACGCACATTACACGTGCCTGTAGGATTAAAGTGATTGTTGCGCTCGTCTTAAAGTCGCACTTTTTGGACGTTGACGATGCAACTGCCTGGAAACAGAAAGGCGTCTATGCACACACTCCTGCAATTAATTACACTAACTGAACGTCAGCATTGACTGCACACATTTATTACTAAGAAACCGCACAAAAGCCAATTTCCTGAGCCCTGTGCAAACAGTCATTAGCTCTTCGGAGCAGCCGTTATTGGCCCCCAGGTTTGCTAGGGGCACTCAGTCTATGTCTCACACGGGCAACAGAAGCAAGTTATTAATGCACGTCTTCATCATCGATTTTAATTAGCTGCTGTCTAGGCTGCTTCCGAGTGGCCGTCTCAGGTTTCGGAAGCGTCTGTTTTATGATGGCCGATGTTTTTTTTTTATAATTTTGATCCGAACGCTTTGAACTGATGGATCTCTAGGATCAGCGCTCATGCTAAGCAGTGCTTGTTGTATGAGCCCTGACACCCACCGTCCGATCTTGCCATTCCAAGTAACGAGAGAGATAGATATATATATATATATATATATATATATATATATATATATATAGAGAGAGAGAGAGAGAGAGAGAGAGAGAGAGAGAGAGAGAAATATATATATATATATATATATATATATATATATATATATATATGCAGATATGTATTTAATGTTGCTAAAACGAAATCTTGATGTAATAAAATTGCTATGAATGATACAAAACTTGAAGTTATGATGTGCTAGTCGCAAGTAAAAGGCCCTCACTCAGTCCAACTTTCGGTCAACGCTCATGGAGCTCACGCTCATGGTGAGCTGAATGCTGCTTGAACTAGAATCGTGCACGAGCGCTTTGTTTCAGTGTCTCTCTACCACCAGAGTGAGAAATGACGTCCCTGTCGACTTTAGCGCCCACATTGCGTTTTAAGATAGAACTATTAGTATCCAAATTAGCTATCAATGGGCCCCGAACACCTGAAAACATATTAGCGGGCAACTGCGGTCATCGCCATTATGACACAGAAGCCGCTTGTTTTTTATATGCACGTCCGTGGAAAAGCTCTGGCTGCGGTATTGGTGGTAATGACGTCACGTTCGCGGTTCGCACCGCGCCCACCCCCGCCGGCTGGTCAGCTGGTCAGTCCTGACATCATCTAATTTGGTGGAGTCCTTTTATTATAGCGTTTTTTATATTCCCTGTGCCGATCAATGGCTCAAGTGCATTCACCGTCAGGTACTTAATTGTCAGTATTGAGGGCCACCACCATTGAGCAGTGTCAAAGCGCCAATAACTAAGTCTTCTATTGATCACGTCTAAAAACAATTTTGAAATGTTCGTTAAGTCTGCAAGCAATTAGACAAGTATATCCAACATCAATACCAAAACGACTATGATTATGGTGAGCAGCTTTCTTTTACATGCAATATAACCTGTTTTGTCCCCCGAAACCTCGTCTAGACCTTCGCCAAATAAGACGTAAGATGTTTTTCACCGCGTCGGCAAGAATGTCAGTTCCGCGAACTTTCGGCAAACTTGCTGACGTCTGCAGATAACAGGCAAACATACATTCGCACTTCACAAGACGCCAGCTGCAAATGAAACCCAGCGTTGCGTCGCTTCACAAATGTCAACACCGGGGCTCGATTCCAGGACAATTCAAATGCCGTGAACAGTGGCCGACGCTGGACTTGGAGAAGGGCTACATGATCTTCATCGACCTCACCTACCTGGTGATCCCCATCGTGGCTATGTTCGTCACCTTCGTCTCCATCACAAGAACGCTGCGTCGCGTCATGGAGGATGAGCAGGCTGGACAGCAGCTGATTGGTGAGTTGCTGATGGCTTTGTACGAATCGGATGCGCGCGTTTCCGCCGACGGCTTTTGATTTCAGCTGATCTCGAATGGTCTGCAAGGGTGTCTATGGGTCGTAAACGTAGTTTTTTGCGTGCACCCGTAACCCCTCAACCAAAATGAGGGTATCCGCTTTTCCAGACAGGACTATAGACGGTTTTGAGATCCGTGCAGTGCTACAAAACAACCTCCCCACGTCAGGTGAACTTGACACGGGTCGGGAGAAACCATTTCTATCCGTCCGAGTACTAGTAGGTGCGGTTCACAGCGCGTGCAAACCCCAGGTCTCGGAAGTTACAAATGCAAACGGTTAACAAAATTTAAGAATATTCTACAATTTAAGGCAGATTTTTGGGCGAAAAAAGAAAAAAAGTATAGTGAAATGACCGTTGATAACCGATTGCTTTGTTGATTCTGGAAAAGCTAAAAAGGTCAAAAAAGCTAAACGTGAAGCTGTATATACATACATACATACATACATATATATATATATATATATATGTATTTGTATATATATATATATAATATGATATAAGAAAATCAGATGCTTATGTAGACGCTAGTATGATGTATTGAGATGTTATTGAAAAATCTGCATGCGCGTCTCCAATTTGACAACGAAACATTTCCTTTACCTACTTCAACCATCTTGGAATGTTACCATGTGACCATGTTAGCATGTTTGAATCAAACCGTAAGCAAAATTGTTAACAAGACGTGCTGCAAAGCAAGACAACGTTTAAAGCATTTTACAGCCCGTTCTAAAAAAGAAAATCAATGAAACCTGTCTCGGGAACCCAATTGATTGGAATGCCTGCCCTCAAATTTTCCCATCTATAGCATGGTGAGGTCGAGTCGTTTTAAGCGCTCGCTATTTGCCCCTGATTGGGATGACCTGCAGCTGGTGGCAGCGGCCGCATGAGATGTCAGGTGACGTCAGAGGGCAGAACGGACCGTGTGGAAAGTTACGGCAAGTCTAGCTTTTACCACAAGATTATGCCGTTGAATGAACTGAATGGCGGTGGCAGTGCTTATGCAACGAGCGCTTCTTTTGGTGGGTTCCGATCTTAGTAATCCTTTCAATTGCCTGGTTTAGACTGAATTCTATAAAAATGCACGATTACATTCAATTGTTTTGTCTTTGCTTTAGCATTATTGCTAGATCAACCAGTGGATTGAATAGTTGGAAGCAGACTTCCTGCGATTCTTTTAACTGTTTTACCTATACATTCTGAATTTTGGGAGCACTTTTATTAACCGTGCTGTTTTTGCATAATGCTCAAATCGGACTCTCTGATAGCAATGCAAGGAAAACGGGCTTTCTTCACCGATATATACTTAAACGGGGCTGCCTGCGGTCACTTGCGGAGAGCCAGTGCGCCTCTGCGCTAGCGGAGGCGCGTCAGAGGTGTAAGGCGTAAGCTGGCATTCCAGAAACAGAACTGGACATTTCATGTAATGCAGGTGTTTTATGTAAAAGTCGTACAAAGCGGTACGAGTCCTACCACAACATATCAGCGCCACATGACGACGGCAACTTCGCCGTTTCCGCTGTATCAGGCTAAGCATGTTAGGTGGCACTTGAAGTGACCACGGAGTCGCAAGCGCTTTCTGCAAGCGCCAGTATTACCTTATTCGTCCGACGGATGTAGCTAGTTATTATATATTTCGTGAAGCACCAGAAGAGCATGAGGTGCTTTAAGTAAATCTGAGCATGAAATCTTGTTAACTTGTTTATATTCCTGTATGAAGCATATTGTCGGATATTTGATTGAATAAGCAATGCTATTTGTGTTTCACCTCATTAGAAAGATCTAGCTGCAACAACTTCTCATGCGTGGGCCATGTAATCATCAGCCATTTTAAGTTCCTGACTCACTCACACGGAGTCTTTAAGACGGCGCCGTCATATCGGAGTATGTGCCGGCGGCCGCCGTCATCAACACGGCGATCAGGAGGTCGTGACCTTGTGGGAGGTCCGTCGTGGTCAGTCCTTGTTTCAAAGACGAAAGTCCAGGAAGGTATGTGTCGGGCTGGGATAAAACAGCGCAGCACAGTGCGCTGCACGTGCTGCAAAGCGCGTGTAATGTGCTAATCTAGATGTCACAATTTCACACGGACTTTGTCAACAATTAGAGGCTGCGGCAAACGGCGAGGGTTGGAAGTCACGCACCAGCAAACTCGTTAAATAAGCTTACTGAAAGCATTCACAAGGTGGCAGCACCCATCATTACTGTCTTGGTGCTGCGTACGTTAAGCCACGGAGTAAATAAAAATTTCCAAAAGACAGCGATATTTTCCTTTGAACTTGGCCCTAGCGTTGGATCTTTTGCAGTCAAATTGTTTACCGTTTAGGTCATAGATGGCATCTTTCAAGATCATAAAAAGGGAAGGAAAAAGGATTTTGTATTGCATCTGTATGATTCCAAGAAAAGCGAAAGTAGTAAAATAGATATAAATTCTTACAATTTATTGGACATTTTTTACAAAGCCACTTGAGTACAAATCTGTTAGCATAAGTGCTCGAATGGTAACACACAGCAGTAAAATTTCATTTAGAAGGCATTTCTTGAATTTTTTACCCTTACATTTCGGGAATGGTGCAATTTAGTGGCCAAGCTCCTTCGGGAAGGAGGAGTACGTGGAGTAGAATTCTCTACCAGGCTTTGCTGGTGTTTCTACCTGGCTTTGCTTTGCTGGTGTGGTGTTTGTGTGGTGTGCCCCCGAAAATTGGGATGCGTGAAATCCGTGCATTTGGCACATATCTGTAGATTGTAGTGCATTTTGTAAGCAAACCAAAATTGATACATGCATGTGATTGGAGCCTGGGGCTCTCGGGCATGAAGGTACCTAGCGCTCTTGCTCTGTGCCTGCATAAGCATGATTTAGATGCAGGTGAGGCAGGATATAGCCGTAGGTGTCCAGATCCCGTGGAGCCTTAGATGAAATCTTCAAACTTCTGAGAGGGAAATATGGGTTGAGTGGGTGTGGTTAGACAACCTCAGGTAGGGGTGAGAAATCCACATAAAATATGGGGAAAAATATTGAAATATTCATTCTCATAGGGTATTGCTTTACAACCAAAGTGGGCAATTTTAGCATACTGCTTCTGCCACCCATTATTTGCGTGGTCAACAACCAGCAGCCTGTGGGGCCCAAACCCAGGTGCCTGACACATGACTGAGGCAGAGCCGGCCGTCTGTACCACTTGTCCACTACTGTGCAAGCCGGTTTTTATATAATTATATGTGTAATATGTGTACTAATGGTTGGCTAGTGTATCATTAACTTTGAATCTCCGAGAAACACATGGCGTTCACATGAAGAGTTAGTGCAGTTTGTTCTATCCTCTGAGGTGAAAGCACAATAAACGATATTGATTATTTAGTTGGACTTTGTACATAAAATGGCTTTGCCAAGCTTTCTCTGTGCTCCGCTTAGTCAGACTCTACTTGAAACGCCTGACGCTCTTCTTGCGTTTCATAAAATGCACGGTGGCACTCGCCCCAGACGTGGCGTCGCCTTGGACGCGGACGGCGCGCGCGGTGGCACTCGCCCCAGACGTGGCGTCGCCTTGGACGCGGTCGGCGCGCGCGGCGGCACTCGCCCCAGACGTGGCGTCGCCCTGGACGCTGACGCGACGCTCCCTCCCGGCAGATCCGCCGCCCTCGGCGCTGAACGGCAGCACGTCCAAGGCAACGTTGGGCCAGTCGCGCAAGAAGCCGTCACCGGCGCCGCCCTCGCTGCGTCTGCGCCACAGCAACGCTGAGAGGTCACTGGCCAGCAAGCGGCGCGTCATCAAGATGCTGTTCGTGGTCGTGCTGGAGTTCTTCGTGTGCTGGACGCCCATCTACGTCTTGAACACGCTGAGCCTGTTCAACCAGGAGGCGGTGTACCGTGCCCTGGGCAGCGCCGGCATCAGTTTCTTCCACCTGCTCTCGTACACCTCCTCTTGCTGCAACCCCATCACCTACTGCTTCATGAACGTAGGCTTTCGACAGGCGTTCCTGGCCGCCTTCGGCTGTCGCAAGGCGCCGTCACGTCACGACCCGAACCGCGCCACCACTCACGTGGCGCTGCGCTCACTCTCGTGTAACACGGGCGGCAGCGACCTGGCGCCGGCCGCGGCCCGCATCTAGGGTCGAGTGGCGGCCGCGCGTCGAGAGGGCGACCTGTGACGGTGCCCCTGCTGGAACGGGACGCGCGCGGCGGTCGCGTCGATCAGCGCTGACCTGCCAGCGTTGGCTGGAGGGAACGCCGGCGAGGTGTCTCCCGGCATAGGCCGCTGGTGTCAGGGACGCGTTGTGCACGTGGCACTCAGAAGGGGACGTGGAATGGTGCGCCGTCGGCTGTCGCAGGGCCGCGCGTGTGAAGCTGACCCGTCACGGAAGCTGTGTCAATGCTGTGCGGCAGTGCTGCTCGAGGGCTAAGGCGTCGGACAATGGTAGAAGACACATAGTTGCCGCCGCAGGTGTGTCCGGACTGCGGAGCGGCAGCGTCCAGAGCGGACCGACTCTCTCCTTCTCCAGGGGCTGCTCTTCCGTTTTCCGGCGTGCACTGCGGACCTGCTGCGCTTGTGGCCGCTCCGTGTGTTGTAACCTGAGTGGCAGATTGCTCTAACAGTGTGCGTGGGTCCTTATCCCGTCACCCGCTGGCCGTAGTGAACCCACCCTACGTAGCTGTTCGGCGTACGCGATGGATACCACGCTGCGGGCTGGAGAAAGGCTGTCGTTTTCCGTTAAGTTCAGTCGGCACTAGGGCGGCGGGTTCGACGCAGGAGACGCGGGAGCTATGTTCGACCCGCGTCTCCGGCGCTGGAGTGTTTGCCCTCCTCGCCAGCTGCTGGGTTCGCTGTCATGTTGTCTGACCTCTCTGAATGGTGTGCACTTTCGTTATTATCCAGCCGAACAAGAGAACGCTCTGCTTTCCTGGCTGGGTATTAGGAAGCTGTCCTGGCGTTGCACTGCCTTGGCAAATGAGTCCGAAGCTCAAAACTGTAAAATGTGGTCGTCGATGGTGATATGAAAGCCAAACAAGACATGCGCTCGATGTTCACCGGGTGGGTTGATGCCCAGCATTTAGTACTAAATTGAACAGGACAATTCCTGCGTTATGTTGCGGGGTGGCATTTCGCATGAAGGACTGCCACCTAGCAACAAATGATTTACATACATGTAAACACCAGATGTCACAAGCCTATTCACACCGTAGACTATTCACTAGACGTATTCACACTGTATTTTTTCTTTCAGAAAGAGAAATACGGCCATTCATAATAGTATGCATGCATATTGAAACACAATCTAATAACTGCGTAAACACCCGTGCTGTTCAAACCCGCCCCAGCGGACCTTCTCAAACAAATGGGCCTGGCACCTGGCTTGAGGAAAGTCGCAATAAGCCGAAGCGGCGAGGCCGACGTGGTGGCCTCAGCAGTTCCGGGCTAGACCGAGTTCACGAGCGCTGCCACGGCCGGAAATTGTTTGTGTCGTTTCTGGCGGCGGCCGGCACCGCACGTTCAATTTAATAGAGCTCCGCTGATACGTAATACCAGCAGAGATTTATCTGCCGTCGAAAGTATTTGAGGCAGTTGCTTTCTTGTGGCCACACTGTTGTGGAAACCACACCTCTCCTGGTTTTTGATGAAAGTTTGACGTCTAATAGAGCGTTAGCAAATGATTATTAAAGCTAGATCTTCGTTCCTCCTGTTCTTATTTTAACTGGGGTAAGGGATATTGAATGCTAGGAGGCTGGTATCTTTGCTATTTGTGTGTTTTGTGTGGCATTTTGCCCATTTCGAACTGACAACGTGTTCTTGTGCAGCTCAGACAAGGTGAGACGTGGGTCCTACCACCAAAAAACTGAAGACACTGAAGACACTTAAGGACTCAGTCCCCAGCTAGGGATTTATTGTGTTGCAGAATTTTTACCCGATGACCAAAATGGATGTGAGCAGGGGCCCATTTTGCAATCATTTCATAATTGTATTCACAGAATATACTTTTTGCATTAAAACCGTTGGTCAACACCACAGCTTCAATAATTGTACGAGGCATCCAAAATCATAAACGCTGTCAGACAACTGCGTTAATCAACGCTGCTCGTCAAAGCTGCTGCTTGAAACCTTGGATTTTTCCTTATTGGGATGATAACTTATTATTTATGTCGCAGGGAGTCCATGGTCCTAATTTAAATGCGGTGGAGGATGAGATGGTTACAGAAGTGCTTCCCCAAAATATTTACAGATGGCATTACTCATGTGCATGGGAAATTGGGATCAAGCCCCCATATGTGAACACTTAAGCCACTTTCTCATCAATCCGTTGCCAAGGATATTATATGATATGATATGAGGATATATGGGAAATGCCAATTATAAACTTCAGGTGCTGTTTATTGGCCGAAAGTTTGTGTTAAAACGCATAAAATCTCAGTCAGTTGATTAGTCAAAACTAAGCTGCTCCCTCAAACTGCCAATTCGCGCAAGTGACAGGCGTGGATCAGGCCTTTGTTATTATGGTTACGACTTGACCTATTCATTAGAGGGGGTATCACTGAGCAGGCTTGCACAAGTGTGGACCAGTGTGGCGACCTGCTCGTTAGACAATCACTCATGCATAGGAACAATGGACACTTATAGAAATAATCATTTGAGGTTTACCTAGCACTACACTCTACATTACGAGCCCACATAGCTGGCCGTCCGTATCCAAAATGGTTATGGTCACATTCTGTGGTTGAGCTCGAGGCAATGTCACAAAATCACGATCGATTGCATTAGGCTTGCCCGTTAACACATTTTCCTACGAACCATTGTGGCTGAGGACCCAACATTCGCTAATGAAGCACTCTATGTATTGCACATAGCCTCCGTTATCTCACCAGTCTTTACAAACGGATATTCTAGTCAATATTTTCATGGCCCTGCTTATATTGCCGTCCCGCAACAATGTACTTAGTAAAGAACGGTCCATTTCGGTAGCCCTCCCACATCAACATGGGGAGACATGTGGAGAGGTCCACCGAAAGGAGTTTGTTTCGAGCGCTTGATGCATCCACGTTCTTCGTGCGCATGCGCAACTGTCCGCAGAGTGTCGTCATTTTGTGGGTAACGTCGCATCCTTCCCGCCATAGTAAGCCTCGTACGTTCTCATTGATGTATGAGACTCGCATCGCTCTGTAAACCCCACCCGGGCACGGAGTCCTAAGTACACCATGCTGGGCGGCTATAGGAAGCGACGTTCGCCTTCCACGACCTTCGATGTTGTATACCCACGTTGTGGCGATGTCAATGTTTTGTTGCGGTTCGGAGATGGATGTGAAAAACTACTAAAATATATGCGTGTTTGTAGTCGATGGGTTTTTGGCGTCGTCATACATGAAAATAGCGGCAAGCCACTGCTATCGACTGCGGCATGAAGACTACGACGCCCGCATAATGCAATACGTTTTACATTTTAACCACCAAGTGGACGTTGTCGCATACGTTTACTGTTCGTCGTCAAATGGACTCTTTCAGGTAGTCCGGTTGCTCAGCGGGAACGAGTGCCGAGTGCCTAGGGGTGCCCGGTGGTCCGGTAACGAATGATGAGTGCCCAGAGGTGTCTAGAAGTCCGGTAACGGGTGTCCAAAAATCAGCTTTAGCCACGTAAGCCGCCGTTACTTACGCTTTGCAAAAAGTGTGGTTGCTCGATTGTAAGCAGGCCAGGGGCTGTCATCCGTATCCTTTAAAACTATCGAAAAGTGGCAACATCGAGCTGCGTGGGAAAAGAGGTAGCTTGAACACAAAGCCTGCATGACGTCATGTACACCATATCTGATGATGTCAGGGGCGCGGAAGTCTCTCAATTAGCCAGCTGACTGCGGCACAACACATTAGTTTGAATGATGAGTATGTTTTGGTGGCGTGCGGGTGGTGCTTCCCGGTTGGACTCTGAATGAATGGTCCACGGTTTTGTCACGAAAACACTCTTCTGGAAGGGAGATTGAATCTCGGAACAGTTTAACCTCATCATAATTTTACAGTTTTCCGTGGGGTATATATAACTAAGGGTTAAACGTCATGCGGCGTTTTAGCCCATCGCGTATCGCGCTTGCTAGGCGTCTCATATCCGTGGGTTGCCATCAGTTGCCATGACCAAGGGTATCTATCTATCTACAAACGCCGCATGACGTATAACCCCGAGTTATGTATACCCCACGAGCAAATATAAAATTCTGATGAAGTTAAATTGTTCCAAGATTCAGTCCTCCTTCAAGAAAAGTGTTTACATAACAAAACCGTGGACCATTTATTCAGGGTCCAATCGGGAACCGCCAGCCGCACGCCACTAAAACATTTTCACCATTCTAACTAGTGGGTTGTGTAGCGGTCAGCTGGCTAGTTGAGAGGCTTCCATGCCACTGACGTCATCAAATATGGTGTACTTGACGTCATGCAGGTCTTGCTTCCAAACTACCTCTTTTCCCACGCAGCTCGATGTTGCCACTTTTCTGTAGTGTTAAGCGATACGGATGACACCCTCCCCGGCCATGGCTACGGCTTGTCCGAGGGACTTCCTGTGCCGTTTGTTTTGAACGATTGGTAGCGTTTAAAATGCTCGACCTGTGAGTATTTTATTATGCATATGCGTGCATGTTTGTAGGTATACATAATGATTGTGGCACACATACTTGGTAAACATACTCACGCTTGATGGCAACGCACCATATTAATTATTTATCTGATTGGTGTGGTAGCAATGGTAGAAACATAGGCAAATGTAAATATACACATAAGCAAAACTATACTAGCCTTGAAGTACAAAATACTGTTGACTGTAGCATCATAGAACCCATATCATGCAGTTTTACTGTACTTACCTTACACCGTCACTGTGATGACAGGAGTGGGAGCTGTTACAAACCAATAATGCAAATATTCATGTAATCATGCCTTTAGGTAGAGAGAATTCTGCAAGTTGAGCTGTTCAACTCTGCCGCCAGGTACAAAACGCATAGACAAGAATAAGGCTATTTAACGACAAGCCAGCCTTGGGCAAGCCTGGTCATGGAATGCAATACATCACAAACGCCGCATGACATGTAATCCTTGGGCTATATAGTCTTGCATGCAAAAGTCGTACATTCTGATGGGGCCTAACTGTTCCGGGACTCACTGTCCATTCCATAAATGTGTGCGAATAGCGAAATGACGGATAATTTCTTCTCAGTCCAACCGGGAACCGCCAGCCGCACGCCACCAAAACATTCTCACCATTCCAACTAATTGGTTGTGTAGCAGTCAGCTGGCTAATTGAGAGGCTTCCGTGCCACTGCTGTCATCAAATATGGTGTACTTGATGTCATGCAGGCCTTGCCTCTAAATTACCTCTATTCTCGTGCAAGCTCGATGTTGCCATTTTGTCAGACCGGACGGTTCCACCTCGTTAGATGGCCTTGAAACAGGTGCAGTTTTCCTATGGTGACGGTTCATTAACCATAACGACGGTTTTATCCCAGAAAGACGGATCACATACCATAAGCCAGCTAAACTGGGAGTAACCCGCCAGCTAGGTGGGAATTACAACAGTATCCTCATTCAAACATAGCCGTAGGCAGAATAATCCATTATATGTTGTACCAACTATATGCCCGTAGTCGTGAGACCGTTTTTCTGAGACTGAATGGCTAGCGTTTTGGAGAACGTAATGGTTTTGACGAAACTACTTGCTAAAGCTCCAGATAGGCAAGCACTTATCGGCATGGTGCAACTAGTCAGCAGAAGTTTAGGACAGGCACTTCCATGGGTACCGATTTCTCAAAATGTGTGGGGAGCGGATTCGTGAAAGTTATCATGAGGACCAGGTACAAAAGACTTCTCGGATTTCGTCCTTTGTGTTCTGGCTAGCCATTACATATGCATACAAAGGTCTACACTTGTATGTATTTGTAAAGCTTATGTGCATAGCCAGGGCAATCACATATGGTAGTCTCTCAGGTTGCATCAGCTGCTTATAACGGCGCCTGTTATGTGAAGCTGAGGGGTGCAGCGGCAGCTCTCTGGCATGCTACAAAACTAAGCATGTGCATAATTTACCAACATGTGATCAGGCAAGCTGTTGTGCAGTTATTCATGTGTTCACAAGAATAGGGTGTCCAGTATCCACAGCATATAGGGCTATTACTACACGTTGATACGCAGGCTCTTCACGCGTTCAAACTTCATCCATAAATATATGCATTTTAGGTAATAATAATGCCAACTAATTGATGTTAAATAATTGTATGTTAATGCCGAGCACAGTCTAAGAACATTACCTTCAACCTTTTCAAATACGCTTAGGCTGGTGCTCTCCTGTTGAGAATACCTGTTCTCCGCCCCTTTCAGTTCACACAAATCACAAGCCTGCTGTACTTCAGAGGAACATTTCCAAGCTGTTGTGCCTCTGAAGGGAAAATGACCCTCATCCGCTTTCGTTCGAACGTGTGAGAACTGTTATGTGAAGTCATCTCATCTCACCAGTCATCTCAACGTCATGCGCAACGCAGGTTGATTGTAACAGCGTTGCTAGCTGAGCTGGCTCTTCATTGGCCACGTGATTACACTAACCTACGCATACTCGGTGCTCAATGAGCTCAATCACGCAGAGCTGCAGCAAAAGTCTTGGTTATTGGGGAGGGACATGGGATTGACAAAGCCTGTTAAAAGCGAAAGGCCCCACTCTAAGCAGAGTGTACTCAAAACAGAAGTCGTCAGATATGGCCTCTTGTTTCGAGTGACACGATTTTACATTTTATGTTAAGATGAAATGACATTCACTCAAATAACTAAATAATAATAATATCTTTATAACGTGCTTAATAGCATACATATTCATTTAGAAATACTAAGTGAAACAGAAACCAGGTGGCATTGCGAGATACAATTCTGGTTTTATTTTGAGGTCAATAAACTGAAGAAAAAAAATGCTAGTTGACTACATAGAATAAACCACCGGTGTTTTTTGTTTAACAATGTTTCAGTGACTCTTTTTTAGCTACTAACACTCAGGAGCTGTGCCGAAATGCTCGGAGCTGTACAGATGTCGTAAACGTGTCATAAATCTGCATTGACATCAGCCTGCTTTGGTCTGAGACTGTTCATCTTTGTTCAGGAATGAGTAGAAGAATAATTACACAATGCCATTTTGGCCGTGCCACGCTCGCGCGTCTTAAAACAACCCCACACCCGGCGTTGCAGTCTCCGCAGACCGTGCGGCGTCGGCCCAGTGTTTAGTACTAAACGGTGGCCAACGGACAGACGAAACGACAGTGTTTCTGGAAGAAGTGTCTTCAGACGCTTCATGATGTCAATTTGGGTATGCAGAAGGTGCTCCGAGATGATGTTCCACCGCTGACATTTGTAGATCTGTAATAGAAGCGGATTGACACTCACAGCACTCACAAGTACAAGTGGAATCTCTATGTTCGTGTTTCTATCGCTGATTATCTCTTCAGACCGCAACCTTAAAATTCTACAAGCAAAACATACGTCACAGTCTTATTTCTAAATGGTACGAATTGATTTTAAAAATAATTTGGAAGCATTATTTCACAACGGCTTTTCTCGTGCGCCGGGCGCCCCGCCGCACGGTGTAAGCGCAGCGGCCAACGTCGTTGGGCTTCATGGAAACTGCAACCCCGAATTTTGGTATCCTTGCTCCTAATATTGTTTGCATGCAGGCTCAGTAAGTGTTTAACATGCCACTTCTGAACAAGGATGGACAACTTAATTTGTATTGGCCTTTTTCATTTCTGATCTCATTGTGCTCCACGCTATTGAACACCAAAGAAACCCCTACCTTTTTCCGGGCAAAGACTCAGTGGTTAGAGCAAAAGGGCACATAAAATCGCCCTCTCAGGGCAATTGCCAGACTCTTTTGCGGCCATGAACCACCAAAACCGAACGGTCGGCTCCTTGTCGGTCTGAGCCCTGGGGGCCCATTTCCCAAGCACAGACGTGGTCGGAAGCAGCGAGGTCCATTCCGTTGCCACGTGGAGTGCCTGTCGGCTGTCATGCCGCTGACAAAGGAGCGGGATCCTCTGGTCGATACGGAACCCTTATAGCGATACATCACACGGGCCTTGACCAGGGCAT